AATCCCCATTTGTCACAGTTTTCAGTTTCTTTTTTCATTCAGGTTTATGGAGAAAGTTCTTCCTGTGCTGGGAGAGCTCTCAGGAATATTTTTACGCTACAAGCATCTGACCTGATTAAAGACAGGGTGTACCTTACTGGCATTTGCAGGTAACCCAAGATCATTTGTTTTAATCAACTGGATTGATTTTATTTGCATTTGTCTATGCCCTGATTTGATAAGAGACTAAATTCTGAGAGTGAGATATTGTGTGTTACTAAAAACTGAAAATATTTTCTAAAAAAAAGCTTTAAAATCTCATGTATTTTAATATATTTTCTTATGTTATTGCCAGTTGTCAGAAAGCAGCAGTGGCCTGATTCTATGCACATTAATTTAACTGCTTATGATTTCACATGCAATTGTGTTTTGTCTGTTATTTTGTTGAAAAGAAAGAGTATAAAATTCAGCCCTGGTCAGAAGTTATAAAAGAGATTAATTGGTTTCCTAAGATTTAGTTGCACAGTGATTTTTGCATGTAATTTATGAAATAGTTCTATAATGAAGTGATTTTCCATTTGTGTTGCATTACAGCATAAACACTTCCTCCTATTTTCAATGATGCCAAAATGTGCAAGTCTCTATTATAGCACCATTAATTCATACCCGTATTTAAGAAAAAGTCACAACTTCCTTTTTTTTAATTATTTAAATAGATCAGTTTACCAGTAATGCAAAAGATGAAGTACATCCTAGAGCAACGCTGTCACGGAATCGCACCAAAATGGCTGCACGCACACGAATAATGAACTCAAAAAAGCTTTAATCTGCAACTTAACTTAAATTAAGTAGACAAAACTTCATTCACCAAAACAACATTTCACTGACATTTAACAAATACAGGTTCAATATGCTGGTTGGGAATATTACCAGACACAGCTGAGTTAAGAATTCTTAAGTTTTTGGCCAAACGATCCAAAATGTGCACTCACTCACTCACCAAAAAAGGGAGGGCTCTCAGTCTTGAGAAGTTACCTTAAGTGGTGTCCCAACTCAAGGGGAGAGTCCCCGACTGCAGACCTACTGCTCCTAGGAGGACCAACTCAAATGAGTCCTCTGACAGGGCCCCATTCATACCCTGGTCGAATCTGATCTGTGGTCAATACGTGGTTGTGTCAGCCCCCTATTGGCTGAGGACCCCAACTTTCCCACCTCTGACCCCCACTGTGTGGACCAGACATGAGCTGTGAGGGGGGAGGCAGTCCTGGCACCACCAGGGCCAGAAACTTTAGCACTGTCTTTGTTGGGTCTTTCTCAGGTCTTTAGTAGGGTGGGTGAATCTGCCACAAACACTTCAAGGTCTTACACATATTGTGTAGCTGTATTGCTTATGTCTATGCTCAGAAAGGAAATAAAATCCTGAGGATAAAAGCTGGATTTTAATTAGCTCTTATACATATTTGGGTGACTGTCTGTATGCAGCACAAATTGATTAAAATGTTACGCTTTTTAAAGTGTGCCACATGAATTAGGTATGTAAGGGAACTTGCGCATCCAACACAAGTTCCTCATTGTAACTAGTGGTATCTCCTGAGACTTGCCAGAATAATTTCTGCTCTTGAAATGAAGAGGATTACAAAAATTAGTAGTTGAGTCAAAGGGTTTGGCCTGCAATTCACTCTTAATAGCTTTAAAAACCAGCTCTTTATTATAAAAGACCATTTTAACATTATCGTAGTGTAAGAAGTGGTATTTTACTTATTTTCAGGAGAAGCTGTGTTGGATCGGAACTAGTGGACTGGCTTTTGGAGCAGTGCCCTTTTGTTAAGTGCAGATCTACAGCAGTCGGAGTGTGGCAGCTGCTCTTGGATATGGGCATTATATTATCAGGTCAGTCTTGATAGTGCTTCTAGTGGGAGGAAGGATACTGGTTTCTTCTGCATAGGGTAAGACTCATGTTTTTAATGGGAAAGGAAGGAGGGAAAGAAAAAAGTGCAGATTGATTCGTTTTTCTTGACAGCTGTTTATTTTACTACCTCTTTGGTAGGCTCACCTCTGTGACCTTTCATTTCATAAATACCAGAGATGAATTTCTATTTTTTTTAGGCAATTTCCTTCCTTTTGCTTTTGCAAATGTAGTTGCCTATTACCAAGTTGCAAACAGTGTGTGTGTTTTTTCCAGCCTCATTTTTTTTCCTCTTAAGCTCTCTTAGGTTTTTCACAGGACAGCAGCTGTTTAGTCACTGCAAATCATGGCTTCGCCAGATGACTTCTGTAGTTGTTGGTGTTTTTCCCTTCCTTTATCTGTTTTTCTTAATTTTATATTACAATGGATTGAGAGAGGATTCAGCTCCTTGAGATGGTGGTGATGCCAGGGTCTACCCAGCTGTCCCCATCTTCCCCACCAGATTTAGGGGTTTGGTCCAGCTAATGTGGTTGGTGACAGTTACACTGGTAACCAACCTCTGGAAATTCAATTGACTTTACTTTGTAGCTGGGACTACTTAGGTCAACTCAGAGCATACGTTGCCCTGGGGTCTGAGCTAGACACTTAACTTTCCTCCTTGAGAAATGGTGAGGTGTTATGGAAGCTTTCTGCTTATTTACACTAACAGTATACTTAAAGATTTTCTTCTGCTCCAACTACACTGACAGTATGTCTGACCATGCAGCCTTCACAGGGGCTGAATGACTCTTCCAGCAGGAGTTTGGGCTTTTGGCTTTGGACCCCTTCTTTTGATCCCAGTTCAATCCTAGTTACGCCGGGGAAGATGATGACTGTTGTACTAGCACATCATCTTACCTAGGTCTAGTCTACAAATCCAGTACCCCTGAATTTTAGGAGAAGCTGGGATAATGATAGGCTGCATACCAATTGTAGAACTTTACTAGTGCCTGGCCATTAGTGAGAACAGATTTAGAAACCAGTGGAAATTGAGGCTTAGAAATCTGACAAGTGGAAGATTTTTATCCTCTAATTCTGAACTGATTCCAAAATTGATTAAACACTCAGCAGTCTTAATACTTGAATTGCAGGTGGCTGGAGATCTTCAAATTGAGGTTTTGGGGTTAATCCTCTTTGGATGGACTGAGTCAATACGAGAGGGCAAGGTTGCTTCTATGCTGAGTTTGCAATTCTTTTGCCCTATGTGATGGTGCAACTCAGCATTAAAGTCAAGTACATCACAGAATGTGGTGGGGACACTGAACCTTTGCATGGTCAAGGTTTAAAGGCTATCTAATATTTTTTTATTTTTTTTTCTAACAGTGGACAGACAACTCTATTTTCAAGACACTCACGCTTTCTACCAGTTCTCAGCTGATGAATGTACCTACCTTTTCTGTGAATATGAGAAAGAGGAAGGATGGAAGAATGGAGTAAAGCTGCTACTTCAACTGCTGCCACTGTCTCCTCCCAGGATTGACATGTGTAATCTGTAAGTGTGCCTATACAGCTGTTTGCAACTTTTGCTGATGGTATTTTAAAGTGGCTGGCTTATAATGACACTGTTTACCCCCAAATCACTGTGCAAATGAGCTAGCTTCCTTCTCAGGGTTGACAAGCTTTGTAGAGATGGGCTTTTCAGCTGAGAAAGCCAGTGTGAGTAGATAAATGAAGACACTTGACTTGGGGTTTTGGCAGATTGTGGTTCTAATGCACTAGCTTGCTGGCTTTAGCTTGCTATCCTACCTGGGCTAATGGTTTTATTATTTTTTTGGTCTCTCCTTACATTTGGAGGTTTGGCATGAATTTGACAGCAGAATTTTGCTTCCTGTATGCCTCCTCTTTCATCTGACTACTGGATGTTATCATACCCTCTGTGCTGATAAAGCTGTGCTCTAAATGTTACCTATTTAGAGCAGCTAGAAGGAAGCCATATTTATCTGTGCCACAGTGAGAGGCCAAAATATAGGAAAAAGGTGTCAGCGAGAGTTCTGGAGGCTTGTGACCCCTCATGCCTCAGCAAATCTGCAGGTGCTGGCCTCAATAGACAAGTTGGGTTAAATTCTTTCATTGTCCCCCCTGATGCTTATACTGTGGTGAACTATTACTCTGCCAGTACTGAGATTTATTCTGTTTGATGTCAAAGACACAACTTTCTTATATAAGTACTTTCTTTATCTACATATTAGATTTTAAAAACACATTCCCTCAAATAAATGTCCAATGGAAATATTTTAAAGGAGCACAAAGCCCAGAGTCCCTGTAAACTGTCTCAAGCTCAGTTTCTTAAATTCAAGCATGTTGAGCTGGTAGAAAAAAAAATCTCAGCCATTTCTCTGTATGGCTCAGGGCAGAAACTTGATTCCCTCCCCTGTTGCTGCCTGCCTTCGCCAGTCAGAAATGGGCAGGTTTGGAGTGGGTATTCTTTTGAAAATGCACTTATTTTCAGCTGGAGTAAGTGTGGCCACATGACAAGAATCCCAAATTGGCTAGAGCAGAGGACAGAAGGTGATTATCTAAGCAGATGACTCATATGGGAGAAAACCTTTGAATATTTTTGCAAATAGAAATTCTTGTCTTCCAGCCTACTCCGGTGCTAAGCAGTTTGGCTGTCCCTTAAGTATTAGGGCAATTTCTTCTTGATTTCTGTGGGAATTGGGGTTTTCCTCATTTTCACTGAAAATCAGGCCACATTTCATGATTCAAGACTTATCTGTACAAAGGCTTTGAATCAAAAAGGCAGAACAGATAGGTCACATTGATGTGTTACTTGAAGGATGCTGGGTAAGAAAATGGATTTAAGAATTTTTAGGTTCTAGTTAAAATGTTTCCTGCATGCTGACCTTGGCCAGAGACTATCACTTTTACAGTCTGCTTTGCAGTTTTATCGTTCCAGTGCAACTGTCTTTTCTAGTGGAGGATGATCCCTGTCACATGAATTGAACAATTATTCATTAATGTACATTTCCAGCTCCTTCCTGCTCACATTATTCAAATTTCAGTTGAAGTTGGATTCCTTTTGGGAACTGAAGAATTATTTTCTGGAGGTTTTACCTGTCAGATTGTGAGAATGCTTTTAAAAATATATACATATAGAAGGAACTGAATTTTAAGTAATGGTATACTCTCAAGGGAGTGTGATATTAAAGGGAAAGGAGGCTTTTCCAGGATCAAAATTCTCTTTACTTAATGCAAATAATACCCTGCTGAAACACAATCTGAAAGGGAATAGATGTAATGAGGTGTTTGTTAAAGTTACCTTACCAGGTTAAATAAAACTATATATTCTTTTTCATGAAGAAAGAGGGTAATTCTAAGAACTCTTCTTTCCAGTGAGTGTTTCTTTTCTAAAATATATAAGCTGTTTTGCGTACCATTAGAAGCATAGTCTTATAATTTAATATTTTTTGTATTCCTTTTTCTTAGTTTTTGCTCATAGTCTGTGTTGACAGCATTAATTCTACATGTACATAGGGACAGAGAAGTTCTTACCTTATTAGTTACATTCCCTGCTTTTGATGAAATCAGAAGCGACTGCCTGCTTGTGCACCAGAAGGCAAGACCGGACATCTCCCGGTGGTCCGTGGAGCCAAACAAACTCTGTCTCCTCCACAGCTGGTGGGCAGCAGCCTTGCGTTTGCCTGGACTGCTGTCTCTGTGAAGCACCTTGAATCTGCTCTCCCAGGAGGAGTCTGTAGACCTGAGAAGGCAGTAGCAGCTCAGGGGATTTCCTTCAGCAGCTCTTCTGCAAATTCTGTTAGATAAATGCGGCCCATTCTCGCCTTGCTGTACAGATTTTTGATGGATTTGTATTTGTTTCTGGTCAGTATTAATAGTGTTACCAGATAATACTATAGTAAGTTTTACAATGAAAGTAGCATTCTGAAGCCTGAGATGTGCTTGTGGTTCCTGAATAAATGCTCCCTGTTGCTGTTTGACCTTGGCAAATTCACTACATTAAACATGACACTGGAGGGAATCTAGCATGGAAAAGAAGATGGGACATAGCAGTTTTTTGGCAGCTTGCACTAAACTGAAAGCTAATGTTCGTTTGTGTATACCACGGGGCTGAGCCCCTGTGAATGTTGTCAAATGGGATGGGATTGATGCAGAGGCATATTGAGGTCTTTAAACACTCTATGTTAATCACAGCTAATTTTACTTGAATAGTAGTGAATATTACAGTAGCCTGGGAACAAAAAATCTACATTGAAAGCTGTGCCATGGACTTCCTTACAGCCTTGAGCAATTACTTAGGCTCTCATCCAATGCCTCCTGAATTCTTTTCCAGTGACTGCAATGGCTTTGTATCAGGTGTTTAATCTTTGTATGCTTCTATTTCCTTCTTTGTAAATAGGAGTGTTTACAACAACAAATAATTCCCAAAACCACTGGTAGGCTCGGTGAACATTTCAAGAATGCATTGGGTACCTTAGCCTACTGAAGTGTATCCCATAATATTTTTTAAAAATTATTTGAAGGGATGTTAAGAGGGGATTTTTTTTCTTTGTCATACTGCCTGTTATTTTCTTTTCAGAAATGTTACACTATATTCTGTGTCTTCTGTCCTGAAATAATTTCCATTTTATTAATTTCAGAAAAGTAACCAATTTCAAAAGTAATTTGTTTTTAATGCAAATAGCCAGGATGGGATCTTCATTTAGTTACTTCCTTATGGAGTTTCTGGAAAGCTTTTGCTGAATGCAAACAGCTCTCAGGTGTGCATGGGTCTTTTATTAGCATTGTAGGTGTGTTGTAAAGCCAGTGTAGAGACATACATGGTGTCTCTACATTAGACAGTTAAGGTCGAGGCCCAGAACCATGAATGTATTGGTATTTCTTCCTTCATCAGTGGTTTGGGGAGTACTGTAATTGCTTTCATGTGGTGTACAGTAGTAATTGTGCTGGACCTGGCCTGCCTGCATGCGGATGTAGGGCAAGCATCCCTGCATCTCACTCTGCTTGACACAATACTGGGCCCGCAGAGCACTGAGCTGTGCAGACATCAGGCATTAGGTCTGCCTGGGCTGTGTAAGCTCCTGTTTGGTACCAACCCTCCTAGGTCTTAGCTGGCTCCTTTTCAAAAATTTAGGGTGATATCTGTCCTTATTCTATTCCTCAGTATCCATTCTGTCTTACTTTTTTTCCATTATATCATAATACACTCTTCTTCTCTGATTCTGGAGAGCTGGCTATAATTTTTAGTATATTAATGGTTTCAGAAGCATTTGATGCTTGTATACAGATGAATACTGAGAGTATTTTTAAATAGAAGACGAAATGATAAAGGCCCAAGATGGAAATAGCTATGTTATATGTTGTTCTGGGTTTACAGATTGCATCTGTGGCTGTGTCTACTGAGCTGCTATCTTTTGCCCCCAGTTTAGGAGAATCAGGTCATAGCTTGGTTCTGAGAGACCAGATGTGTCGGGAAACATAAGTATCTAAGGAAATCAGTTATTTTATTCTCATTCCAAATTATAAAGAGGAAGAATGAATAATTCAGTCTTTTAAAATGAAACTGCATTAATTTATTTCTTCTGGGCTATTTATAACACTTAAGATGTTAAAACACATCTTTCATTGAACAGGAAAGGCAGTTGTGAAAATAATTGTGATTTCTAATCTGAATTACCATTTTGGCCTGAATATGCTTGCCCCAAAATGAATGCATTGTCATTCTGTGCTTTCTGACCTTAATATTTTTTAATCAAGGAAAGAGATTTTTGGACATGGGATGTAAGAACCACAATATACCAGCTGCCTATTCCAGACATGTTGTCAGCTCTCTCCCTAAACACACCAAGGCGCATGAGCAATTAAATAATTTAGTCAAAGATAGAAGCCTCTGTTAATACCTGGGATTTATGTTTATTACAGAAGCTGCAGTTTTACATATCTGCTCAGTTTGCTGGCATGCCATGCTTCTTGAATACCATGAAAAGTAAAGATCTCAAGGACACTTTCATTTTCTTCTTCCCACAGCAATAACCCTATCATATTGCTATCTTTTTTTCTGATTGTCAATAAACCTTCCATAAGGCTCATGGATGGTTTAGTGGTGGAAATTAGACTGTTCTAAAGAAAAACACTGTCCTATCCCATGCTGTCCACTGCAGCTTTTTGTGTGGTTTCTTCCACGTGGGCCAGACTTCTGTGGCAGTTTCTAGAAGGGTTCTCCCTGCACTGCCCAACTTTTGCAAAGACACATTAAGTCTGTCTGTCTTGTGAGTAACTGTCAAGGCAACCTAGTAATATTTTCAGCTGTTGCTTTAGTTTGCTAATTTATGGCTTCTTACATGTATTCTTTTAATTTTCACATTTTTAAAAAATATCAGACTTCACGTGTCACATAATGATTTTGATCTTCTTTGCTTTTATCTATATGAGTTTGCATTCCATAGGTGTTGCTTCTCACCTTAGCAAAGCTGGGTGGTGGGCAGATGGAAAACTCTACTCTGTCAATGGAGTATACTTATAGCAGAGCAAAATAAGCGTTTGAATAAGCAACTCTGAGCTAAGAGAGTCCTGCATTCTTCAGTTCTTCATCATATTTTTATAGCTGAGGAATTCTCTCACTGTTTTACATTAGTCCAATCAAAAGAGTTCTTGACAGCAAGGGACAAAGGGTGTACTCTGTTGTTACTGACACAATTAATTATTGTCATGTGGCACTCATCATTTTGATGTGGAATCTCAAAAGCCCTTTTACATTAGTGCCTGTGGCTACACAATTCCTTGCTTTTCAGGAATCAAATGATGTTGAAACAGAATGAAAGAAGTAATAAAGTCTTATTTTTATTTTTTTTAAGGCCTGATCAAAAAATAGAAGATACAGCAGAAACCAATGCTGAAATTCTTGCTCGTCTCACTTCTGCGGTAAGGTCACTGCATCAAAGTTTGTACTGATCGCGTTTGAAATATTGTCATGTTTTGGATCCTTTAAAATTAAAAGCTTAGTCTTAGTGAGCAGGTGTTTGTAATGCAAACTACTTTTTTATTGGTGAAAGGAGAAAGCTTTACTGAGGGCATAGTGTGCAATTCCAAAGCTATTAAAATCAGTCTAAGCGAGGACTGCTGCAGCCTCCTTTCTTGTAATCCATGCTATTCATGGCCCAGGAGATACCAATTTAGAGGATTGTGGTGATTTTTCTGCAAAGTAGCTTACACTCAGATTCTCTTGGTCAAGTGGACATCAGTGTGAAGACAGTGATGGGGTGGGGGACAAAGGGAGACAGAGCCTCAGCAGCCCTGATGTAGGTTAGCATAAACCTCTGAGGAGACCCACCTGGGAAGCCTGGGTATCTGGCTTCCCAACTATGTTCAGCCTCAATAAACTCCATAATAATAAACAACAGCTTATCCTGTCTGTGCTAGAATTTGGTGCATCTTGCTTATCTTCTTGTAAGATCACCGCTCTAAGAAGAAGACAGACAAGACTTCAAAAGGTTAAACTGGATTCACTCAATATAATGTAAGCTGTACAATGGTGTAGAGTGCACTCTCAGCAAGTTTGCAGGTGATGCAAAACAGGGACGAATGGTCCATACACTGGATGGATGTGCTGCAATTCAGAGGGACCTTGACAGGCTGGAGAGTTGGGCCAACAGGAATCTCATGAAGTTCAACAAAGGGCAATACAATGTCCTGCATCTGGGAGAAATAACCTCGTGCTCCTGTACAGGCCAGGGTCTGACTGAAAAGCAGCTTTGCAGGAAAGGACCTGGAGGTCCTGAGGGACAGCAAGGTGAATATGATCCAGAAATGTGCCCTTGTGGAAAAGCAAGCCAACTGCCTCCTGGGCTGCATTAATAAGAGTGTTACCCTCAGGCTAAGGGAGGCGATCATTCCCCTGTACTCAGCACTGATGTGACATATGTCAAGCATTGAGTGCAATTCTGATCTCCCAATACAAAGGACATGTGGACGTACTGGAGTGTATGTGAATGACCTTGAAGAGGATCAAAGGAGTAGAGTATCTGACTTAAAAGGAGAGGCTGAGAAATCTGGAGGTTGAGCTTGGAGAACAGAAGGCTATGGAAGGATTTTATCAGTGTGTATAAATACCTGATGGAAGGGAATAAAGACGATAGAGTCAGGGTCGTCTTGGTGATATCTTGTGACAGGGCAAGAAGCAGTGGTACAACCTGAAATTCAAGAAATTCTGCTTAAACATAAGAAAAAACTTACTCACTGTGGGGGTGATCAAACAGTAGAACAGGTTACCCAGAGAGGTAGTGGAGTCTGGATATGGTCTGAGCAACCTGCTCTAGCTGACTCTGCTTTTGAGCGGGGGTTTGGATCTGATCACCTCCAAAGGTACCTTCCTACCTCTACCATTGTATGGTTCTGCGAACATCATGCCTAAATCATGGTATCAGCAAAACACTGAATTAGTGCTAATTCTGTTTTGGGTATGTAAGAAAGTATAGACATGAAAGAGAACCAAGCAGGTTGAAGTTGTCATGAAAAAGACATGAGGATAAGAGCTATTTGAAGTGAAATGAATAAAGCACTATCTTGAAATTGCTGAAAAATGGAAGGAGAATTTGTGCTATATTTTGTAAAGACAGATGTTTTTACAAAAGACATTTTGTAATGTGTTTGAAAAGCCAGTGCTTCTGTATACTCAACTTTATGCAAAAATAATTTAAACTGTATGACTTTAGAAAATTTTGTTTCAAAAATGTTTTATATTGTTTATTTTCTCTATATTCAAATTCCTTCTTTTCTCTACCTTTTTTCTAACTAAAAATGAAAGAACTCACAACCTAAATATCCTCCATTTTTAGTTCCATAGAGAGAAAAAATAGAAAAACATAAAATACTTTTTGCAGAGTTATATTTTTAAAGAAACTCTCAAAACTACCGACTGTAAAACATTGCTGATATCCCTCAAAAACTTCACCTCTCAAAAACAGAAGAATAATGGTTTTTCATCAGTTTAAAAAAAAAGGAAGCACTCAACAAAACAAAGTGACTTTTTGAGTTTAAGAACTAGATATAACTGTTGCTGGGTACCCTTGAGTAGAATGCATATCCACAAATATGTGAGTAATTGACAGTGAGTGCAGTGTGCCTCACATCTAGCTTGCAATGTCAAACCTTTGAACTACATCCTGAATGATTCCAGCAGCAGGGCACACAGAAGGTTTTGTTTTGGTGTTTTTTTAAATGAACCATTTTACTGCTGTAGCTAACTAGCTAAAGAAAAATTAGGGAGTTGCATCTCCATATGGCCCGAGACCATCTGTTGCCATGGTACAAAAGACTGATCTTTTCTCTTGCATTTTCTGATTTTCCACAAAACTGTGCAGGCTTTCTATAATGATTTTTCTAGACTAACCCTGGAGAAAAGATATAAGACCAGAGCAGGATCCCCCAAATATTGACATCTATATATGAACTTCTCCCTCTTGTCCCTCCAGAATATTGCTTTTCCTCCATACAGTAGACTGGGGTCTAAAGGACTCATGAGTATATGGAGAGCCTTTATGTGTCTCAAGGGTATTTGAACCCTCAGCTTGCACCACTTGCACCACTGTGAGCAGGAGCTGGAAACCAGAAGTGAAGGTATTAGCCATGACTGGAAATGTGTTCAAAATTTCTTGTTTTTTGGCTCACTGAATGTTTATGTATATTGTATGGAACCAAACCAGTCTTCCTTGAAGGATTCATAATTCAGAGTCCTGTTCACAATACTTTTCAGACCAGTGTTTCAGAAGTGGAAAAAAAAACCCTGAAAGCCTTACTTCCAGTCCAGCACTAAAGCAGGCAGAGATTGTAGTACACTTTTTTTGTACATTTCTAGGTTTGGAGGTTGAAATTCCATCAGTGTTGATAGTGTCACTGTCTCTTCTGCTTTCCTTTTTGCTTTTCTTGTAATGGAGTGACAGTGTCGGGTCAGAAGGATTAAATTCCTGAATTTTCAAACCTGAACTGATTGTGAAGATGCAGCCCAAGCAACATTGGAGAACCTTGTGTGCCTAAAATATAAATCACTGTTTTAGTATCTGAAAGTGCAATGAAAACTGTAAGCATGCATTTACGAAAGGTCTAATTACATATTTCTGTATCTCTATAAAAGCTATTGCTGTTGCAGAGGGTGGAACTCACCTCGCCTAAATATAAGCAGCCATATGGCAGGCATCTACATTTGAGCTAGCTTCCCAAAGCACTCCTTACAGCCAAGGAGCAGAAATAGGCACTTCCAGGATGCTGAATGTATGATGCATTTTGCAGGTCTGCTTTAGGGAAAACCAGTTATACCTTACGATCTGCTGGTAAGGTGTGCACTCTCTATGAAGGCAATATAGAATGACTAGCACAGACAAAGGCTTCTGTACGAGTTTGGTGAATTCCTCTCTCCGCATCTTTCTCTTTACTGTTTCTTTACTTTTTTTCCTCTTTACTTTCTTTACTTTTTCTTTACACTTTTCACATTCACTGCACAATTTGTGATTGTTTTTTGATGATTCATCCAGTCTAGAATGGATTAGTTAGGGAAATGCACCTTTGGTTTTAAACAGTGGTTGTGGAGATTGTAGGAGATAATAGCGATAGCTGTGGTGAATGATGCCAGGTCAGAAGGGCAGTGAGGAAAAAATGAAGAGGTTTGTTTATAATCCTAATTTGTGCATAATGTATGGAATACACCTCTTTTAAAAGCAGAGTATAATACAAAGGATAAGAAAATAACTTGGTGGTGGTGTCACTATTTCTTTACGCTTTGTTCTACAATGGAAAAAGCAGAGTCAGTCAAGATAACTGAATGAAGCCTATTGAATTATATGCTCATATCATACATTCCATTACAATGAGCCATTGACAACGCCATCAAACTTAAATTGTAAAGGCAGCTGACATGCAAACAGTGCAACGTACCGTTTGAAATACGTTTGTATCAGATAATCCTCTTGGTCATGAATTTATAACAAACTGCAATGATTACTCCTGGGTTTAAAGAAGCATTCCAGAGCTGTCATGCATCCCTTGTCATGTCCCAAAGAGCAGCTTTGTATTCAATGTCTTGTCTGCTAAAACCTGAGCACAGTTGCATGGCTATGAGTGTTTCCATTGTGAAGCTCCTACCTTACCTTAACTTGTGATGGGGCAGGAGAGAATATCAGGATGTTAATGCAGTGTGTCTGGGAAATGCAGTTTTCTGGTACTTAAAGATGTCAGGCAATACTACTTTCATTTAAAGTCCATCAAACTGTCATTACTTAAGATGCAGAACTGTGATCTAGATTTTTCTTTTTCAAAACTGTGCTGTTTAGAGCTTTCTGTTACAGGATTTTGTTTTGAGATCCTGTAAGGTTTGCCACTTTGTCTCTAGATCTGAAGTCCTATTTGGCACATGGACATCTAGAATACTGTTTCACAGAAGACTACTAGAGGCAAAAAAAAGAGAGAGGAAAAAGGTAAAGGTGGTATGCACTGTCTACTAGATGCACAACTATGTCTTCTATGATAAAATAACCAGATTCATGGATAAGAGAAGAAGAGTAGCTGTCATTTACTTCTGAAAAATCTGTACCTCTGTCCTTTGAAGATGAGAAGATTCACCGTATAAATATGCCATTTGTATTTAATTGAGCAGAAGTATTCATGGATACCATTCTGTATGCACAGTCTTGCTCCTTGATACTGCAAAAAGAAAACTGATTAAGATGTGGTAACATGTCAGCAACACACTCAAAATGTTCTCTTTCAGACTTTCATAATGTTTCTGTAAATACTGTGTGGTAACCTGGCCTCTAAACTGAATCAGTTTTGACATCTGCAATGCTACTCAAAATGGGTTACTATTTAGATGGTGTTAGCTTTGTAGCAACAAGCTGTATGTATAAACCAATTTTTTGTATTTAATATCTCAGTTTATTATGGTAGGCATAGCTCCTGTTTGAATGTGTATTTTACTTTGAGTCCACATTATTATCTTCGATGTGATGTGCAACTATCGATTTTGTCAAACAGGCAGTAACTGAAATCCTATTAGGAAGAAGTATGATAATGCGTAGCATGTGTGCAGTGAGGAATGAATGTTATACATGAATTTCCATCAGTGTAATGATGCATAGGAATTGCATGTCCAGCAGAGATGTCAAGTGCATTTATGCTAAAATAGACAAAAGCATATGGATTATAAAATATAGGGACACCAGGCAAATCCAGAGGGATGCTCAGCAGTACAAATCTTAGTGATCTGAGTGAGTCCTATGAAGGGGAGTTCAGACTGTCAAGATGAAACCCTTTGAAGGAATGATTGCTTAATACTATGACTAGAGGAACACTCTTTTCTCCTGCTTTAACTGCAGGGTTTTGCTCAGATTAAGTAATATGCGAGCTGCATTCCTGGCACACAGCAAACAATGAGGTATTTTGCATAACATAGACAAAATACAGAAAAACAGCCTTTTTATTACCTGTGATATTAGCACTGTCTTTCAAACTTGAAAAGTGCCACCTTACAAGCAAAATTAATACTGCGACTATAACCGCAGAATGCCATAATGCTGCTTTTTCTTCCAAGAAGAGGAGTTTTGGGTTTTTTTTACACTTGCAGAGATTTGCTTTTTTCAATTGTTTGATTGAGTTAATTGGTATGTTTGCAACTGTTGCAGATTGTAGCGTCTCCTAAGGCTAATCTTAAGATAATATGTTTATTAAATGCCAAAAGATAAAGATGATACATCAGTGCACTGTTTCTTACTGTTAGTAATGTGTGAAAAAAGACTAGGATCGGAGCATCAACACTGGTACCTCCTGCTGAGTTTAATGAAGGGAGAGGGTCTGAGCAGTTTAGCCACAAAAAATCATGGTGTGGTTATTCAGAAACAACTTGGGCTTTTATTGAAATTCCTACTCTAACTCTGGATAGCTGGTATGTATTATTACTAGTATATATTAATGGCTGCAAATGAGCACACAAGTTGTTTTTTCGCAGAAAAACTGTTCTTTCCCATCTTAGTTGCAGTTTATGCTTATGTTAACCATAATTAACAGTTCTCCAGACATGGGAATGAGTGTACAGGAAGGAAGGAAGGGTAGGTAGTGCTGCCAGCTTGCTCAATTGTGCTGGAAACAGGACAACATTTATTAAAACTGTGGCACTGCCTTTATATTTTCCTACTTGGAGTGACAGAAATCTCTGTCCCTCTCAGTGGGACAGCATCAAGGAGTAGAAAAGATCCTTGTACCTTGCAAGGACAGCAAAAAAAGCTCCTTGGTCCTTTGTCACAAGGGAAGGAAGGATGCAAGCAGAGGAAGGATGTGGCCTCTGGTATGACTGCCTTCTGCCGCATGTAGAGCATACTGCTGGGTGACTGCTCAGTATCTGATCAGTGGACTCAGGAGTTACCACTGACCTGAGATATCCCAGGTGATTCTGTCTGTCTTTCTGCTCAGATCTATATAAAGTTAACTGTTCTTGTTTCACACATTCAAACTTTTCTTCAGAGTCGTGAGAGTAGGAAGTTGATGGTCATTGGTAGTGGTATTACTTCAGAAATCCTTCATGGGCTCTGTGCTTTATTCTGATCATACCACATGTCTTGTGAATGGTGTTTTAAATTCCACGTGCTCTCAGAAACTGGGTGTCAAAACTCCCACTGTGGAGTAGCCTTGAGCTTTCAATAGATCTGTTAGACAAGATGGCTAGTATGCATTGCAGGAGACTTTGTACAGAGAAGTAAGACAATCCCTAGAAAAATAGTTAGAATGCCCCAATTTTTTGTTTTTAATACTGAAGACAGGCTATCTTGGGAAAGTGGGGGGAAGTTGGAAAAAGCTGGGAGGTGTATGGAAGAGTTTGAAAGCATGGATGGGCAATGAAAGGGAAGGGAAGGACTGAAGTCTATGCAGGAGAGTGTCTGTGGTGCTTGGCATGCCTTCAAGTTCAGGGTGCTTGAAGCAGCTGCAGTGGGACAGATGATGGCAGTGAGGAGTACAAAGCATAAAAATAATGCATAATATAGAATTTTACTGATAGAAAAAGGAACGGACCTATGGAAAGAACTGGATGTAGAGCTGAGCTGGCTAAAGGGACAGCTGGTTGTGTAGAGATGATTGGGATAATATAAAGAATGCAGAGGCAAGAAGCTTAGGAAGGAAGCTGGCTAGAGTGGCAGGGCTTTTTCATCACAGGCTAGTGAAATTGATAACCTGTACATTTGGAAATCAGATACTTCTTCTGCATGTTAATCTCAAGCTAAATTTTGGTTCTGAAATGCTCAGCCATTCTATTAGGAGAGGATGTTTCCTCTTGAAAACTCCAAAAAGCGAATGTCAACTACATACGTGAACCTCAGCATGGGGAACTTGCTTATCCTGAAGTCACACAATAAATCCAGCATTACAGTGTGCTCAGCAGAGGCAAAACAAATATTTACCAAGGAAAGGAAGAAGCTTCAAGTGTGTGCTTGTGAAAGAGATACGCTGTGCAAAGAAATTACAGGTTGATTACAGGTTGGGTTACTGAATTGCCCACTCCTTAAGGAATGTGCAGCATGTACATGAAATTAAAGTTAAAAAAAAACAACAATCCAGCAAAATAGTCATCACAGAATTCCCAGCAGAAAAGGAAATAGATTTTCTAGGAAAAGTGACTGTAATTTCAGAACTAACTACCTGTGTAATTCCACATGGAGTTGACTGCTCCAAAGCATTGATAGCTGGTATCTTACCAGTGTTGCATTTTTGTTTTTTTTTTTTGTTTGTTTGACTGTGCTGTTAACTATAACCTTCCTTTCCTTTCCTGGTATTTTAGGTACAGAGAGAACTGGCTGCTGTCATTGCCTTGAAAGCAAGGAAGTCAGGTGAGTCAGGCTGGGCTTTAGAGGGGGTTTTGTAATGCTGTTCCGTTTCGTCATTTATTGAAGTATGTGAATTGTCATTGCTGTCTTATTAACATGGGGAAGCAGAGATAGCGGACCTCGTTCCTCTCTCATTGGAGAATCTGTGTATATAGCACAATGCAATTACTGTCAAGCTTCGCTTCCCCTAGCTCGTCACATCTAATGACCTAGCTGATAAAATTGGCATGTTACAGTTGAATGTGAATTTAGGTCTCTTTCTAGCCAAAATCACTATTTTCTCTGGGCTTGTACTTCATAAAAGAAGGTTATGTATTTGACTTACATTTAAGACAAATAAGTTGATAATTTTCCTGTGCTTTCTTTTATGGCCCAGTATCTCATGCCATCTTCTCTGTGTTTTACCTGCCCAGTCAGGTGTATTTCTTTATGCCAAAGCAGAAGCACAACATCATGCATGAAGGCATTCTTTCCCAAAGACGTGTCTACACATCTCTATGGCTGTAGAGGCAACAATCAGGGCAGTAGGATAAGAAAGGCAAATGGTTAACAGAAAGTCTCTCATAGTATAACCATTCACAGCAAATGCTGGTGATGTAGTGCAAAGGCACTGAAGTATGTGGTCAGCTCAGCTCCATTAGGGTTTGGTAGCACAGACGCTTTCAGAAGATATCTGTGTTGCTGAGCTGGAGTGGAAGCAAAGGAGCTGTGTTTTCCAGGCACTGCACAGGAACTAACCAAACTGACTTGGCCAGACCTGACTCCATATGGGGTTAATCCTCTGGTGTCTTCATGTGCAGAGCAGTTAATCTGCAGTAAGGGTAAACTGCATGGGGTGAAGTGAGAATTGAATGCATTTCCAGAGTAAAACAGAGGAGGAGTTGCCTTAAATTACTGGTGTGTTCCCAAAGCCATTGAGGTTCTTTGGGAGCATTTTCACTGAGCATCTCTTGTGATCTTCAGTGATTTTGCTAGAAATTGAGATAATAGATCTTGGACTTTTTGAGCTATTTTCTGACCTGTTAATAATATTGCATCATAATATCTGTATCTGTCTCTCTGTGGCTTACAAGTACAGCACAAAAGTTATTGCACACAACACATGCATTACACACATGATATCTTAAACCGGAGGCACCAAGAAGGTGTGGCTGGCATATCTGCAAATATTTCCTTGTGAAAATATAAGTATTACAAAAATATTCTAGACACAGTTGGATGCATTTTTGCCCGGAAATAGAAGTACCTATCAATTATATCCAGTCATCTGTAAATGTGAATCTGCAGAAAGTAAACACAAATCTAAGTGTGAATTCAGATCTAAATTGCTTCTGTGTAATAGCTTTGCTTCCTAAACTTCTGTAGTAGTTTACAATGTTAGCACCCCTCAGCTGCTTGTCCTTACCTGGTATCACCCTAATCCTACCTGAATTATAATGGTTGAACATGGAAATGCTTCTGCTGTGGTTCAGTGCAGAGAAAAACAGGCTACGTTAAGGAAGGGCTTAAGATAACCTTTTGTTTTGCTGTAAAAAGGGCTTAGAGTATGGTCCCATGTACCTTTTTACTTAGTGCTCATACAGTTCTAAGAAATCTCTTT